AAAGGTGAATATTTTATGTATAAATACATAAAAATAATTTATATTATTTCAAATATAAATGTTTATCTTTAAATTTACGTGTTGGGGGCCGTTTATACAGGCTTTGGTGTTGCTGTGCTCATGCAGCAGTGCGTGTAGTAGCGTATATTCATGTAGAGATTCAGGTTTCACTCTTTAGTGCATACAATACAGCTTATTTGTGTATTAATTATTATATATTGGCGTTTAATTATTTATCAATTCATGGTATAACATATATGAATGCATATCTAAACAACCTACTGCATTCGTGGTTTCATCTGCAACGACGAGGAAGATGTGTTTCTGCTGCAGTTTATTGGGTATCTGCATTGTACACTGTTTTCGTTAACCCCTATATATTCATGTTTTTATAAATATCCCTATATATTATATTTGTCTAAATATGGAAATCTATTTAGAAATACAACTCAGCAGTGTAGCGTTTGCTTGGGGGTTGTGCGGTAGCTGTGAGTAAATATATTCAAGTAAAGGAGTTTTGTTTGTTTTGTTTGTTTAAAAAAAAACAAAAAACGAGAAGAAAACAACGAAAACACAGAGCGATCGTATGAGAGGCAGCAGCTTCTGTACGCAGAAAAAGTTGAATTGCTGCATCGCCCCCCCCCCATGTAATCTATTGATCTTCACCTCGTGATGCTTTTTTTTCGTTTTTTTTTTGTTTTTCTTTTTTTATTTTCAGATTGTAATCCCCAGAGGTCCTTATCAAGCAAAGGGATTGCTGCTGAGCTGCATCCGTGATGAAGATCCTTGCCTTTTCTTTGAGCCGAAAGCACTCTACAGAGTTGCAACAGATGAAGTTCCTACGGGCGACTATATGTTGAATCTATCAGAGGCAGATATTCTTAAGGAGGGAACTGATGTAAGGCAAATACCCCTTTTTTTTGTTTAATATATATATATATATATTTATATATTTATATATTTATTTATTTTTATAAATATAGCAATCAGTACCTATTGAACATTAGTCTTTGGGTTTTCACGCAACGCGGGGTGGTTAGTCCATCGAGTGGTTTTCGCAACATTTCTTAGAAATGTTTGATGAAACCTTTGTTATATTCTGTTGGTCGTTTATATATATATATATATATATATATATATATATATATATATATATATATATATATATATATATATATAATATATATATAATATATATATATATATATATATATATATATATATATATATATATATATATATATATATAAACATATATATATATATATATATATATATATATATATATATATATATATATATATATATATATATATATACTTCAATACATTCGGCGGTGTGTATTCGTTTTCTTTTTCTTTGTGTATTGCAGCTTCATCGTACGAATCCATTTCACCTTGTCCGCAATTCATACGTGAATTCGTTTTGTTTTTTTTTTTTGTTATTTTCGTTTCTTGTTTTGTTTTTTCTGTTGTTTTTTGCTTCACGTTGAATTTCAGATGTATTTGTTGAATTCTTTTTCGGGTTTCTGTGTTGGTGTGTGTTGCTTAGGTTACTGCAGTGGCGTGGGGAACGCAGGTGCACCGCGTGCTGCGAGCAGCAGAGATGGTAGAGGCTGAAGGTATAAGCGTGGAGGTCATTGACTTGCAAACGATAGCCCCTTGGGATGTAGAAACAGTAGTGAACTCGGTGAAGAAGACTGGGCGGCTTCTTGTTTCTCATGAAGCACAGAGAACCATGGGTTTCGCTGCAGAGATCGCTGCTACTGTACAGGAGAAATGCTTCTTCAACTTAGAAGCCCCAATCAAACGCGTCACAGGCTATGACACGCCTTTCCCGCTAGCCTATGAAACTGTCCGTAACACAGCAGCAGCAGCAGCAGCAGCAGCAGCAGTAGCAGTAGCAGTAGCAAGACTATTCTGCTTCTCCTAGACGAGAGATAGGCAAGAGGGCTTGTTCTTTGCAAGGGTTTCTATAGTGAAGTGGTTTACCCCTGGGAATACAGCTTCTTGTAGCCTTTCTATGCACGAATACAACCGCATGCTTGTTGTACTTGTTGTATTCATGTTTATTGTTTTTTTGTTTTATGCTGCTGTTTGCAGTTCTACCTGCCAGATGAATACAAACTGGTGGACGCAATGAAGGAGCTGAAGTCTCACTAAGTCTTCGATTTATCTGCGTTCGTCGCCATCATCGTACAACTCCTTCGTACTGTCTTTCTGTCTCTCCCTTTCTTTGTTTCCTTATCTCTCTCTGATGCATGCATCTCAATGCAGCTGCTGTATCCCCTTTTGGAAACCCCTTTAGAGGCCCTAGAGGGGGCCCCCCCCTAGGGGCCCCCTCTAGGGGTGCCGCTCTCCTTCTTCTTCCCCTCTCACCCCCCCACCCCCCCGCCTCGCCGCAGTTGCCTCAATAGCTAGATGCATGGGAAATCTGGCTTGCATACATCTCGGGTGCTGTGCGATGCCTGCATTGCCGGAGACAGAAGAAGTACAGCTTTGCTCACAGTGCACAGAAAAAGGAAGAGGCGGCTAAGAGTAAAAAAAGGAGAGGAGGATTAATATATATATGATTGTGCCTAGGCTACTAAACACAATTCAAACAAACTTATATGTAACATATGCATGCAAAGTATGCATGCAGTCTATTGCACATAGATAAACCTCCTCGTGGGCAGCCTTGGGAACTTGTTGTAATGTTGAGGTGCACGTACACCCGAGGGGGCTGCA